TCTGCCTTTCGCTCACTGCCCAGGTGTCCCCGGTTTTGCAACAGATTTTGACGTGACTAGACCCTCAAAGAAGTGCGCGCCGAACAGCAAGGAACTAATGCAACAGACCTTCTATTCTCATTCTCTGCTCCTCTCCTTTCTCATTGCTGCAGGCTCCGGGACGATCAGACAACGGGGAGATCTCCCATCGCCGGGCGCTCATTTTAGCTTCCCGCGCTAAATACCCAAGGGTTCGTCCGTCATTTTTCGGCTCTCCGCCCGGCGTGGAAGGAGGAGCAGCTACAGTGTTTACCTGCCTCACATTCTTCTGTTTGTCCGATCTTCAAATCGGATGTTCTCACTCATTCTCCGCCCGCTTCGATCATTTGTCCAATTCTCCTTTTCTTCTCTTTCTCTTCACTTCTTACTGTCTCTCTTCTTTCTAGTCGCTCATTTATCGGTGGCTCAATCCATGACTTGATCGTGATTTGCTTACCCCTTCGTTCCCTTGAAGCTCCTCCGCCGCCGCCGCCGCCTTCTGCTCCCCTCTTCTCCAGCCTTTGCGCACCCGACCACTTGCGTTGGCCAAATTTAGAACGACGCTGCTTCATTAAAAACAACCAAGAATACTCGCATTGACTATATTTATCATTATTCGCAGTGACCGACACGGAAGGAGGCTTCGATCGAATCCCCTCCGCAGCCCCTCAATCGCGGCTCCTTCCTCATATGAGCAATACGACTTGCCAGTTCTCAGGCGAATTCATACAAGGGTCCATCCCCTCTAAAAAAAACACTACTCGAAAGTACCAATGCACCAAAACCTCACCCCTTGTCTCCAAGGCGTTTTACCATAATCACCTACAAACCCGCTCCGACTCGCCATGGCCTACAATACTCTGAGCGCGAAAAGCAAGACCAGCTCGGGGTCGTCCTTTCGCATCACACCTACAAATTCACCTGTTCTGAGACCCTCCACACGCTCTTCGATGCACAAGACACCACTACAACAGGCGATCCTGGCCCTCCAGACAGTAATCGGTACGACCACCAACTCGCCCAGAGGCTTCTCCAGTCATGCGGGGAGTAATTCCTTCGCTATTTGCGCTGGCTCAACCGTCGTTCTAGCGGAAATCGACGAGCAAAGTACCCTCCAGCAACGCTTCTTCAGGGCGCGACCTTCTGCGACCAGTGTCAATCCTGTCACGTCTTTCTATAATACCTCCACTCCTCCCACTACTCCAGACAGCAGAGCAAAAACTCCTTCGGGTACAAGGTCTGCAGCCCAAAGCGTCCTGCACGGTGGTAATGCCGGTAATGAGCTGGTGGAGTGCAATAGTCCACGTGGATGGTCATCTCGGGAAAGAGTGAAAGCAGTCACCAGCGTCGCGATTAGTCCGAATGGGGGTCTGCTTGCCGTTGGGGAGGTATGTCTCCGTAAATTAGCTTGTATCAACGTACTCCTATGCTGATATTTGTTAGACTGGATATGGTCCGAGGGTCCTTATCTATTCAACCGCTAAAGGCGCCTCTGGTGAAGTCCCACTCTCCATTCTGACCGAGCATACGTTTGGGGTGCGTGGGCTGGCTTTCAGCCCAGATTCACAGTATCTTGCCACCCTTGGCGATGTCAATGATGGATTCCTGTTTGTCTGGTCCGTGAACCCGAAGACAGGATCGGCCAGGCTGCATTCCACTAATAAATGCACTTCATTCATTCGCGACATGGCTTGGGTTGGGCAGACTTTGGTCACGTAAGTCACATTAATTATCGCTCTGTCTGGCCTACTAATACTAACAAGCTGTTCAGAGTGGGCACCCGACATGTTAAGGTTTGGAGGCTGCCGGACGTGAGACCGGGATCTCCAAAATCTCGGCTTACTGCCGAACCAAGCGCCAGTCCATCTAATCATACTCCGAAAGCTCTGTCTGGGAGAAATTGCTTGCTAGGCTCGCTAGCAGAAAGCACGTTCACCAGCGTAGCTAGCGTGTCTGACTGCGAGTCAGTAGTAGGAACAGACACGGGGGCTCTTTGCTTCCTGGATCACAACGAGGGAACACACAAGCTGTCTGTTGCCCATTACTTTAATTATGCTATCACTTCTCTCGCGGTCGATCTGGGCCGCTCATGTCTCTGGGTTGGTGGACGTGGCGGACGTATCCAGTGCATGACCTTGGCAAAATTACGTACATTAACCGTTCCATCTTCGCCTGCGTTTTCTGGTAGATCCTCAGTGGAACCGAGTTCAAAGGGACCTACCATCACATGTATGGGATGTCTTGGTCCCAACTTGGTGGCAATGGACTCTAGCAACGCTATCAAGATATTCTCGACTGAAGACTTGAGTGATGATCTGGATATCAGTGATAGTGATTTGGGAAACACTCTTCAGGCTCACAGGGATGCTGTCCTTGGTATTCGTCCATTCTCGGACCCCAATGACCTTGGAGCAGAGTTCTATACCTGGTCACGGAATGGAGTTGTCAAGTTCTGGGATATCACAGGCAAGTGCCGGGATTCACATTCGATCATTCTTGAGCATCCCACCGGGGTCAATGAGGATATCTCCAACGAGCTGAAAGTCTTGTGTGCTACTGATAATATGGATTGCTTCTTGTCTGGCGACAAATTCGGTGCCCTAAGGTATCATATTGACCCGATTTGACCATTGCTATATTCTCACTAACATACGGTTATCAGACTCTGGCTGAATCACCCATGGAATTGCATTCAAGAAGTTCGAGCTCACAGTGGGGAGATCACTGATATTGCTGTACATTCCTCCGCCCAGGGTCTTTTTATTGCTAGCGCCAGTCGCGATCGCACTATACAATTGTTTCTGTGGGCAAATGAGAGTCTTGTTTTGATTCAGACCATGGACGACCACATTGGAGCTGTCAATGAAATCATTTTCATTGATGACGGAAAGCGACTAGTATCATGCTCTGCCGATCGTACCATTCAGATCAGAGAGCGCGTGAGTCGCGAGGCTCACGGCGCGTCTGCTTTCGCGTACTTGGTCTCCAAAGTGATAACATTGAAGGCCTCGCCAGTATCCATGGCACTACTACCAAGAAATGAGAACACACTCATTGTCTCCACTACTGATCGCTTTGTTCAGCGCATTGACCTGAGTTCTGGTCGACAAACTCATTCTTTCCGGACCACTGACGCTGATTCAACTGATACAGTGGTCATGAGCTCCCTAGCTGTCTCTGCCGACGATCCGGAACATGATTCCCCTAGACTGCTCGTAGGAGTGTCAGGATCAGACAAGTCCATCCGTGTGTACGACTTGGACAGAGGCGTCCTTCTCGCGGCTGAATTCGGACATACCGAAGGAGTTAGCGACGTTTGTCTGCTCCCGAGGAGTTCTAAGTCATCGAGCCAAGGGAAGAAGTGCTCTCTAGTCAGCTCTGGGATTGATGGTCTCGTTATGCTATGGGATTTATCGCTGCTTGCTCAAGCACCTCGAGATTCCGTGCACACTAGTAATAAGGAAGACGATGACGCTCCAACCAAAGCTTCCGCAGTCTCCAAGCCTCCTTTACGCAAAGTCCTGTCCAGGCATGAAATTGCCGAGTTTCAGCGGCAGGAGAATCTTGCGGTCACTCCGACCCCTGCGCGTGGACATTCTCCAACATTTTTGCGGAAATTCGCTAAATTATCCCTGTCGCCTTCCCTTAGATCTGGAAGCACTTCTCCGACCTCACCCGCATTGACACCTAGTCGCCGCTCACCTACGTCTAGCATTCATCGAGACAAAGCACATACATCACCCTCACTCTGCAAACAAAAGCCCCCCAGTGCTAAGAAGGCCGTGTGTAGCCGCAAAGAATCTCGCCGTTCATCTATGGACTTCCGGGCTCGTGCTAGGAGTATGGGGAAAAGCGAACTCGGCGCACTCGATACGTCCACCGATCAAGTATGTCGAACATTAAAGGCTTACCGTAAAAAGCTCAACAATTCGACAGAGTATTTACATACTCAGAGGGATTTAGAGAGAGAGCTAGAGCTCACGCTGCGTGTGTTGGCTTCGCGGAACAGGACCCGTGAGACCCTCGAGAACGATACCGACAGCAGCGGCAAAGAAAATCAGAAGATGTCTGGAATCGGCAAGCTCCATGAAGACTCATATAGCACCGAGCGACTATCTTCGATGCCGGAAATTCAACGGACAGATTCGTTCGCGCCCTCAGAGATCTCTTCCCTTATTCTGAATGGCGATGATTGAACAAATGAGATTCAATGGCAGGCCCATTGCACTCTTCTACCAAATCCTAGGGAGCACAATACTTCCTGATCATCCTCTTTCCTTTCTGCCTCTCAGCTGTTATAAATTCAAGCGGAATCTATGCGCTTTGAATTCGCCTTGATGAGTTCATCGCTTACACCACCTTAGCTCTAAGCGGTTCAGGTGCTCCCATGTACTTGTTCCTCGTTTCAACCTCTCAATTGCGAGGACTTCGCATTTCAGGAGATATATCCTTCATTTCTTACCGGAGTTCTATGCAAGGACACATTTGAGTTTGCGGCCCCCATCCAATCCAGTCGCTATGCTGCGGCATCATTTAGTCTTCTCTCTACTTAGGGTGAGGGCTTCTCTCCTCAGCTGGGATTTTTACTTCTAGTTCATATGCACCCTTCTTAAACCTTCTTTATACTCTTCCTCGAGCGCATTTCTTTGGTGTCATTGGTTCTTTCCCGGGAAGTCGTTCAACTTCCTTTCACTTGCATCACATCCTTTATGTTGGCCTTGTTAGCTAAGCTCAAAATGATACCCATATTGGTCGAATACCATAGCAAGCCTAACTTTGATGGTTCTTGCATCGGGCTATGGATCTTTCTAACTCGTGATTGACCGTGTCTTCATCCGTGTTAGATTCTGATCGACCACCTAGCTAAATATAGACCTGTCACACTTGCCCCTCATATTTAGTTTGTAGCTGAGCCATAGACTCGCTCATACATTCATAATGCGGAGGTGGAAGCAGAGAAAACACTTGCCACCTACAGCTGAAACCTCCCAATTCAGACCATCCCACCCGACTCCTTATCCATTGACCCCGATCCTTCCACCCCTCCCACCATCAACTTCCCATACCTCGCCCTCAACAACCCCCCAAACAAACCACCCCCGCCATCCACCACCACCACCAGCAAGTCCGCCAACGCAATCGCCTTCCCCGCCCACCGCCGACACTCCTCATCCTCCCCGGCCAGATAGAAATCCACCGCCCGATTGAACGCCACCGACGCCATCCACTGCACCTCCACCGCCGGGAATTCGGTCATCTGCCAGTCCCGCACGAGGACCAGCACCTGATCGAGGACCGACTCCGCGAGGTCGGGCTGGCTTGCGTCGAGGGCCAGCTGGTACAGCACGTGCAGGTACCGGGGGAGGGTTTGATACATGGTGGTGGTGGTTGTGGTTGTGGTTGTGGTGGATTTGGTGGATTTGGTGAGGTCGGGGGAGGGGGAGGTGTGGATCGTTCGGAGGAGATGCTTTTTTAAGTTGTGGTTAAAATCGGATGGTGTGTTCAGGCGTTGCTTTGGGGCTTGATGGGGCTTGGGCTTGGACGTTGGAAGGTGGTTTGTATTCTTCTTCGTATGGGGGAGGGGGACGTACCTTGATGGCTTGGATGATGTTTGTGAGAGGGGTGGTGGTGCTGGCGCGGAGGAGGATGTCGAGGTAGATTGCTGTTTGTTGGGGGGTGAGGATGGGAGAGGAGAGGTGGATGAGGTTGGTTATGTGGGTCCAATTACTGCTGCTGCTGTTGTCATTGTCGTCGTCGCTGTTGAGATGGATTGAGGCTTCTAGGTCGAGTGCGAGAATGATGCGGTATTTTGGGAGCCAGAAGGTGTTGCTGTCTGAATCCAGGCTTGCGTTTGAAGCAGGAGTGGCGTTTGAGGGCAAGTTTGGAGCTGGAGTTGGGGTTGCTTTGGGATTGTAGGGCCACTGGTGGTAGTTGGTGAGGTTTGCTTGGAAGGCCATGCTGGATTCATGGGCTGCTGTGTAATGGGTTTTCTGGATGTTGAGGGAGTTGAGTTAGGGTCATGGATGATGGAAAGTGAGTGGGCAAGATGACCTTCTTTACTGGATCAGTGGTTTGGCGCGCTAGTGATATGTGCTTGGTTGTCTTTAGAAATTGGCAAAGGAGGTACGTGGTGTTGAGTGGTGGGTTGGTAGGATTGACTTGTTCTTGATATAGGGCTATGAACTGAAGGCTGGTAAGTCGGGAACTCTGGAGATTGAATGGAAGCGGCTGTCTTTTACCCTGATGGATATTTCAAGGAGACTCAGTGTCTGCTCTGTGTGTTCTGAGTCCCGTAGTCTCAGCGCCAGGTTGTAGCTCTTCTTCGCAAGCCACTCTAGCTCGTCGGTGGTGAAAGCGCCTGCTTGCTTCTGAGCGGGAAACCTATCTATGGCTAGTAGGGTTAGCTGACACTTTGTCGGACTTGATAAGAGGTCACGCACCTGCTTTGAATGCAGATATCATTGCATCTACTAGCCCTTCATATGCGGCATCGCAGGCGTCGAGTTCAGTGACAAAATATAGGATGGTAGACATAGGATTATTGTCAGTCGGCAAAGCTGATGGTGCACGCACTTCACACATACTGGAACAAACGCCCTGTCTGGTTGTCGGGTTGAAGGCCTTCCTTGCTCGAAAAAAGTTGCTGAAGACATTGAAATGCCTCTATCATCTTTCTTTGTCGAAATGCTTCCGCTATGCACGATATGATATACGGCGATGATGTCTCGACGAGCTCGAACAGTGCGTGCATATAGACAGAACCTGTGCCTTGTCAGAAGGCTAGAAACAGGGAGCAGGAGAACTGCCTACTAGAAGTACATGTACTGTTCCGCAGGGTCAACTTGCACATCAGATACAAAGTCAGCGGGCAATGTCTGCATTCTTCTGGCAGTTGATTAAAAAGTGTATCCGCAGCGGTTGTGCTCAGTGTCTCAGAAGCACAAAGAATAAGTCTCCTAATTCTTCGTCAGTTCTGATGGGAAGATGTGTCAATCTTTCTTACCTGAATAGCTTAGATCTGGTGTCGGAGAAAAGGGGAATGACTGGCTGTTTGAGCATGAAGAGACACCATTGTTCTGCGGAGAGTGCATCATGATCCGATATCGCTCGATTTATGTGCTTCCAGACTATCTTTGACTTGCTCAGCAACTAATAGTTGACCTTAGGATTGAGAGAATACCATCAAACAAGCTTGTTGTGCTTCTACGCTAAGGAATTGCGAGTCGAAATTCAGGTTTTCTACAGCCTCCTTAAAGAGTCGCATGCTCGCCTGTGTAGAAAAACATGGATCTGTCAGAGCATCGACTAGCCTGACAAAGACATGTTCGAGTAATCGGTGTTCCTGATCAAGGCACGGACTCCCAGTCATCTCAGTCAGGAGCCGCTTTAGTGCATAAAAATACATTTCGGGACTGCTGCATGTCAGGATAGGTGTATCAGTTGCTACATAGTGACTCACGAGTCCTGAAGCTTGCCGATATAGTAAAGGATCCTATCAAAGGTTACTGAGCTGCCTTTTCATTCGAGCTGGGCACCCGCACATCCTGAAGCTACTTTCTGAGGCATCCACCGCCTTGAAGGCGTCTTGTAGTACTGCCATGAATATCAGTGACTGCTCTTAATGATAGTGGGACAACTCACCTTGAAAGTACTGTTCCACATTCCTGTCCCCTCGAGCAAGAACTTCAAGCTCGAGAAGCCGAATTGAAAACACATTGCTATACTGCTAAACACGCATGGGCATAGAAGCATTGCTGGAGAATGGACCCACTTACAGATTTGAGCTGCTCGAGGGCTCTCGCAAGATTGTCTTTAGAGTCATGCGTATCAAGGTATATATGCGCTCGAACTGTTCCGAAGTCAGTATATGAAATATGAAAGACCGGGATAGTCCAGGGCCCACACCTAAAGCATGCAGAATCAGAAGCTCCTTATCCCGCAAAGCTACATCAGATTCTTTAGAACTGGAAACGAGCAGCTTGCATTGCTGCAACCCCCTTTCCAACCACTTCGCCGCCACATCGTACTGCCTGCATGACAGTGCCGAGCTCCCAACCTTGAAGCAAACATCCAGAACACAGCAGTCGCCAGTGTTCAACTCAGGGAGTTTGAGAAACAAATGATCTGCAATGTCTGGTCTGCCTTGAATCCAAGCCTGAATCCGGTTCTCCCCGTCAGCAGCGTATAGTACCCAGACTTCAGCTCCGCGCAACAAGATCATACATACCAAGTGGACCCGAAGCGCATAGTAATGCACGCTGCACTGGCGCAATCTCGCTTCACCGACATCTGTCTCCAAGTGCTCGAGCGCATCCAGCCGCATGGCTATCGCTTCGATGACTTTCAAGCTGATGGCGACGCAATCATGTTCTGAAGCGCATGTCAACATGGGCTGTGCCCGTAGCCAATGCTCGCTTTGATAGTCATACATACCTATGCAAGACTTGACCAGCTTGTTAGCTGTCTCCACGACTCTGAAACTCCCTGGTGCAGAGGTAGGTTAGTAGTGTCAGACATCCTTGCGGACCATAAGGGTATACCTGGACTCCTATTCGAGACGGCAGTGTCGAGCATAGCCCATGCGAACGCTTTGACTATATTTCCGCTCAGTCTGGATACCTGAGATTATATGGCAGGCAAGAGTGTATATACCTTTGCACAAGACCGCGGATGATATTGGGTCGCTGCAGTGGGTCATACGCTGCGTGCAGCTGTTCCACAAGTCCGTGCCTATGTGATCGAAACGCCGGCGGATGGAGGGGGAAGAGGTGCTTGTAAAAATTGGCAGATGGCTGAGATAGCTGTCTAGCTTGTTCGACGTGGCTGCATCCAGGTGTAGACTTCGGAGTTCGCGGCCGTCTGCCTGGATTTGCTTCTGGATCTCGCTTGCGAAGGCTGGGGGTGGTAAGTACAGTTCATGGGCGCACTCCGCTCTGGTACGAGGTAGTCTGCTTACATAGAATTGCCTCTCCTGCCATTTTGAAATTTCGAGGCGGGCTGCAGACGGTTGTTTTGAAGTGAATTGTCGACTTGGAAGGGAACTGCACGATACCCTTGGGCGATGTAGTGGAAGTGCATGGCTCGTGTAAGTAGGTTGCTACGCCGGACTAGGATCATAGCATGGTCCTGATACACAATGGCATCGGAGGCCACCTGACCGGCATACTCTACATCAGTATGGCACTACAAGTACAACAGACTTTGACTCTTATTAGAATCTCATTTTCTTGAACCTAGATTATGGTACATTTCCTGAAACTGAAAGCTGTTCAAGTCAGGAGGCTATAACCTGGCTCCTGCGAAGCAAATGACAAAGAAATGGATATCTATGGACCAAAGCTAGATCAAAGTGTGAATGATGACTCCGTACTAAAGCGAGAAATAGCAGATAAGATGAAGATAATGGATTTCATTTTGCTTTCCGCTGCGAAGGTAAGAAGTTTCCGATTATGAGAGATGGTCTGTTTTCCAAGGAAGTTAGTGTTCCATCACCAGTTCATTCTTTTGAGAATTGACTCACATGTTGTGGTTATCTCTTCGTATGGTGAACGAGAAGCAGCAGGGAATACCGTCGGTAGACGAGTTCGAATTGGGATTTTTCAGTGTGCAGCTCGTGAGCATTGCCTTTTGGGTGCTATCGAACGCAATGGCCCCGAATTTCTCCCAGTAGCTAACAAGCTGGTCTTCCACAATAATTTCATGGATAGCCAGTTTACCCTGTATTATGTTAGCATTCATCCATCTCCGGCCAAGGAGACCAAACACGACTCACATCGCGCAAGGACTCGATAGGAACGCCGATCAGCTCTGCCATCTCTTTGTTCCCTCGAAAGATCTCTCCCGTTCGTCTCCAGCAGCAAGCAGGAATAGCCATACTAGCGAAAACACGATCGTACTCCATCAGACTGCGTTCGAACCACATCTCCACCAGTATCAGCTCAATATCGGTCAAACTTTGCATTCTCTCCCGAAACTTCGGCCGGAACTTGTCCAGCTGTCGAAGGATCTTCTGCCGTGAAGCTTGCTGGAGGTGTCTTTCCATGTACTGATTCAACCTTGCATAGCCTTTGACATAATTGAATGGCCTCAAAAGTCCTGCGTCATACTTGGCTTTCAGGAGTTTGTTCATTCGCTCCTCTGGTGGATCTGAGCCCGAAGGATCAGCTGCAGTCATGTAATATGTCTCTCTTGCCTTGTCATTGCCCACTGCAGCAGCAGGGCCCTGAGCAGATTCACTCTGGGTTTGGTGAGTCTGCTGATTCTGATTCTGTTGCGACTGTGCCTGTTGGGCTTGCTGGAGCATGGAGGGGTTTGATCCTCCCAAGGTAGCCATGGAGTTTATCAATGTCGGGTCTGAATACATCCCATGCAGATCATCATTTTGAAAGACGGATCCATCGTCAAGAAGACTGTTACTGAGAAAGTCCCCAAGAAGGTTGTACTCGTTGGTGACCTCGGGCGCATTGAACATATAGGACGGATGAAATGAGTGCATATCTTGAAATTGGCTTTGGCCGCCAATCCATTCGTTGAAGGGAAGTACTGTGTAATCGCGTCAGTGATAATCTTTCGAACATCATCTTCATTAGGTGGCGTCTCACCGGAAGAAGACATATTGCCCGGCTGCTGCACCGAGGGCACAGAGGAAGCCGATAGGCCCATTGTCGCATCGGGGAGGATTTGCTGACCGGCAGCATCCTGGACATCGACCGTTCTGGGCATTCCTTGGATGTTTGGATACTCGTTGTTGGAAGAGGCTTCGTCATCCGCAGCCGAATGCTCATTCTCGCTCCGGGACCGCTTGGAAGACTCCCGAGGCTCATCATGGCACAGGTGGCCGATGTTCCGCTTTATACATCGTGTACAAGGTCGTTCCTATTAAACCAAACATCTCGCGTCAGTATGCCTGGCTCATTGGGAAACACCCTGTGCAAAGACGTTTCACAAAGGGTGTTGGAAGGAACAACGTTCAAGAAGGTCGTACCGAGTCGCAAGTCATATGCTGTGCCACGTGGAATACCCTCCTGTTAGCAAGTGAACCACTTTGTAATTTCGATCAATTTGTTCTCAAAGAGCGGAATGCCGCTCTAGACATGGCCAAGGAAGGTGGTTTGGCGGCCGCATGTGAGAGAGGCTTACCGATCGCCGACAGTAAACGCATGCTATCAGTTATTTTCGAATCAGCCAGCCATTCGGGACGGGAATCTATGACAGAGAGAGCCCACAGGTTCCTACCGTCACCCTAGCAGGGCCCATGGCAGAGACTATCTACTTACCATGATTGACCTTGCGGCGCTTCTTTGGACTCGAGTGAGCCCCCACCGCAACCATTTCAGATTTGGGGCCCTGCGCGCCCAGCAGTTCCTCCTTGACATTCGGAGTTTCTCGCGTGTGTTCGCCATTTGCTATGCTGATTCTCAATTTATCGGTTGTCCCGTTGTTGGGTTGGTGTTCGGGCCCTGTACCCGGATGCGCTGCGCTTTTCTCCGTCATTGATCGCTGGGCGCAAAACTGTTGCGCAAGAACGGGATCGATGCTGAGATCAATTGATTCGACTGGCTCAGGGCGCTCCAAGGAGGATGGCAAGTTGCAGACATTCAAGGCTATCTGGAAATTGGGTTGGGCAGTAACGGTTAACAATATCGCTTGCTTTGTTGCGGCGTCGGTCTTGTAAACTGCTCAGTAGAAATTGCGAGGATGCGCGCGAATGCGATCGGCTCATCGAAGTTCCCCGCTGGAGCGGGACTTGGATCTTTGAACTCCCGGGCTCCTCCGCATTGGGAGGGGAGGGGGGAACAGAACGGCGGCTAATCTGTCAGCCTCGGGAAAGACTTGGCCCTGGAGCCACAGCCCATGTGCCACATTAGACTAATCAAATAATCCCGCAACTTCTTAGTATGAGCATCAGTACTGGACAAAGCAGAAACTAGGTGCGTCGAATGATGTTTTAACTATAAATGCCTCATACAAAAAGAAAGGAACTCCCTCGGTTAAACTCACTACATGTTGCCTGGAAACTCTTACGTTTAACAAATATTGAATGGCACGATTTATGCTCTTGTAAAGTGAAAGCAAGTGGGCTATGCCTCAAAGTAGTATGGTCTTCAACACGAACTATTTTACATGCAAATAGGTCACTTGCACTTGCAGGCCCGAGTCCACAGCATTCTCGGATATGTACTCGTCTTTGCGTGCCAGTCTGTAGGCCAAGCGACCCATCAGTCCACTGTCTGGTGCATGTTTCACTGCTTGACTCGAGACCCAGTTTCTCGTATACATGTTCAGTGCATGTATCGCCAAGAGATGCGGACCCTGTAAGCAAAATATTGACCTACTCATACCGAGGCCATGCACGGGGGCTTGATGCACCAGCTTAAAGGAATCCGCTCCTAAATCGTTGCTGTTGCAATTGGAATATTCGGCTGAATTTATGACGCCAGCTTCACTGGTTCGGCGCTCAGGGCCCCTTGACCCATGATGATATCGCTGTGCAGACTTCGCTGTACCATTGACGGAAGATCAGCCTCAAATGAACAGCATGAGCTGCAAGTGGGCATTTTATGAGCTTGTTTGCTTCGAAGTTGCTTCAGTCTTCAGGAAGGAAAGTCAAACTCAACGCCGCTTGGAATTTGGCGACAGCATCGCTCAAGCCAGTCAGAGGAGTCGTGTTATTCTGCATCGACTTGAGATGGCCATTCAACTGTTTCAATAGACCAAGAACTTCTGGATCGGCCTCAAGCTAAATAGGACTTGTCAATAATGTGGCCGTACAGTTCGAAAAAAAAGTTCCTACCTCATCAAACATAACGTGTGCGTCGTTATCATTTGCTATGGTAAATCCGCACTGGCTCGAATCGTGGTTATCAGGAGCGTTGCTCAACTGCCGTAGCACCGGATGTTCCTTGATAAAGACAATAATCAGCGACTTGATCTTGCTATCACTGAACAAGATCCTTACATTCTTCATCTGCCTCTTTCTTTCTGCCTCAACTCCCTTTGCATTTCTCTCCATCTCCTGCAGCTGTTTCCTCTCTTTCTCAAGTAGTGCTTCCTCTTTCTCTACCTCAACCTTCAATAGATCGATACTGTCATTCATCGTAGCTAAAGCAGTCTCTAACGAAGACTTAACTTTGAGGTTAGACCAATTTCAGAGTCGGTCGATCGATGGTGGAACCGCCTTACATGTTCTTTGAGAGCTGCTTCGTACTCAAACACGGAATCTTTCGCGACGGGGGGGAACGGCATTCGCGGCAGTCGTTTTCCCAAACTAAGCGACAATATGTGGTCAGTGCTAACCCCAAGAGTCCAACGGCACATGTTAGGGACAGTACTTTTTCACAACAGCTTGCACGGCGGCCTGCGCTTCGATGCGCTTGCTCTCATTTTGTTGTCGCATGATGACAGGGCGCTCCAGGGCTCGGAACATATCGCGAACTTTGTCTTGAACGGGTTCGGGAAGCGTCGACCACTTGCTCTTGATAGTCCTCTCCGAGACCTGCCTGACTTGAGGCTTGAGGTAGGCGAATCGCTTGTTGCGTGCATTGTTATCGTGGTCCGGCGCATGGCTCGCACGCTTTCGTTTCGGAGGAGGCATGTTCGCAAGGGCCCGCGGGACTTTCCTCTTGATTGAATCTTCGATTTGGAAATCAAGGCTGAACGATGGTTGCAATTGATGTCATTACATCTGGATGGTTTGGTGGTTCTTTGCGGAGTGTCGAACTGTTGTCCGGTCCCAGAACAACAAATGGGGGCGGATCACATGACAGTTTGTTTCCCATGCGGAACTAAACAACCTACGTAAAAGGCTAGGCTAAGCCTGTTTGATTGTGCGGAGCTCCCCGCGAAACTAGTACTGTCCAATACTCCGTACAAACCTCATCATTATTAAGTGCTTTCTACAGTGCGCGGCCGCACAATTTTCCAGACTAAAGGATGCATGATTATCGGTGCGACAATTAGTTACATGTCACTGCGTCGT